TGTCCGCCCTGTGGCTCAGGAGCATCCCCCTACCCCGGCCTGCACATCGATGAGGAGTTCTGCTGCACGCTGAAGGAGGGGACACGGATGCGAGCGCCGGATCACGCCTCTCCACAAATGTAAGCCGAGCCCGTCCACCGGCTCAGATCACCTTCGGTCTAACAGCCCTTTCAGATGGGGGGGGGGGCGGCTGTTCCAGGGGAACCTCTCAGCTGGTGGGGGGCATCTGCAGTGACTATGTCTGACCACTAGAAGGGCTGTACGGCCATCCGGACAGAGGGGGGCACCAGAGCAGAACCTTCAGGTTTCAGGTTTTATTGCCACATATGTTCAGAGGAACACAGTGAAATTCTTATTCTTATTAGTTAGGGTAGAGGTCAGGTGGATCAGGTAGGTCAGGTGCATCATGGGATATGGCAGACAGCAATGCAGTACAGTTAAAGACAGTGCAAGACAATATGCAGTATAAAAATGCAATGGGGAGAAGAATACAAATACCACGGAATAGTAAAATGAATATGAGTATGAATATTGAGATGCAGAAGTGGAATATTAACAATGTGCAGTACGGTGCAGTGGGGGGACAGATGTAGGTCACCGGTTGCTTAGCGACCTGATGGCTTGGGGAAAGAAGCTGACTTTAACAGAACAGATGCATCAGCGTGGGCACATGAGGACGCAGCAGTGACCTTTGACCCCATAGCACACCGGCCGTGTCCCTCACCAACAGGCTGTTCACAGACCTCTCCATTTGTGCGCCATGCTTCCTTCTTACTGGGGAAAAATGTCAGCTTTTCATTTTCCTGGAAAGCATTTTATTTGGAGCTAAAACCTCAGGCAGATGATGTTCTAAATGCAATCCAGACATTGGCATGCAAACAATAAAGATGGCATTCCGCTTCATTCAGCAGGAGGCCCAGTCAGCCTGATGGCCTTGCTGATAGGCTTGTTTCACAGGGTGGCAATAAGTATGTGAACATGTGAAAACGTTTAGATGAGTAAGGCCTTAACTTATGACTCTGACCTTTCACCCATGACCTCTGACTGAACTAGCACACATGAGATGAAAGGAGATTTGCTGATTAGCCACCCAAAAGACCACTATTGCTGTTAAGAAAATATTTAGTTTGCACTGTGGGTAACCATTAGGATAGCATAGATTAAAGGTTCAAGGTTTTTTCAGTATATTACAATAATAACGAATATAAATAGGTAGGAAGGACAAAGGGTACAAAGGGAGGATGGTACAGCAAGGAGCCGAGAATCTCATCCCACTGTCATTCCCTTATAATTGCATAAATGTGGGATTGTGGCAGAACATCTGTGGTTTTATGCGACGATTCCCCAGCACTGTGGGCCAAGCAAACAGATCACTCATGAATTCGGTTTGCTCCGCATGTGCCAGCATTTCTTCTAAAAATCAGCCCTGTTTATGCTCTTCGTGCTGTGCTCTTGAAAACCCATATGAGCAGCTGATAGTTCGTCCAAACCTCCTTCAGCTGGCCCTCTGATCATGTAAGCAGGGTGGAGATTTATACTAAGAGCAGCTGGGGTACAAGAGCACCGGCTGATCTACATCACAGTCATGTACCATCAGGTCTTAGACCTGAGCTAGAGAGTGATTTGCCTTTAAGCTTCTTTGACTTGGACTAAGTTATCCTGTGAGTGATAATTTACTTGATGGGGCACAAATTATACAGTATTATACTATTGTTTCTGTATTAACCACAAACTAAGTCTTATATACGTACTGATCTCTAGGGATGGGAATCACCAGTGACCTCACGGTATGATATTATCAGGACACCTAGGTGCCAATTCGATATGTATTGCGATTCTGTGAACCATCCCGATTTGATAATATGATTTTTTTTTCTTTTTTCCTTTTTCAGAATTTTAAAGCCTTGAACGTGTAAAAAAAACATTGAGTCATACCGCTAAAGTTTTATTCGATAGCTGCACAGCTGAATTGAACATGAGTAAGCATAGCACACTCCAAGTGATTTTCCTCCTCAGAAAGCCAAAGGCAGCATTTAAACAATGCGAATCAACTTCAATTACAACAAATAAGATGCTAACAAAAACCTACATTTGCTGCTGTCGTGGATCAAACTACACTGAGCTTTCATGCTTCTCCGCTGCCTGGTCGATCTCAGCATGATGTCTAGCAATATCTGCCCTTATGTTCATCATATTGCCACAATACTTTCACAGGGCAAAGTTTGCATACACCAAAGATCATGTCCAACTCCTCTTTACTATATAAATTTTGAAAGCCAGCGTTCCCCCGTACATTGAATTTAAACTGTGGAGGAGCAGCACGAATCTCTGCTTTGTCATCCGTCATTCCTGTTCTTGCTAAACAAAGTTAGAAAATAATTGGCTCCTACTACAGGGGATGCTGTGCTGCCTGTCAATGTGGGAATAGTTTAGAGCACGCCACCTGTAGGATTACAGAGGAACTGCAACGTTTCTCCACCTCGAATCCAAACATATATAAATAATAAATTACTTTTAAAAAACGATTTCAGAATTAGTGTTCCGATACATGAATCGCCCCACAAAAGAACCTCGATACATAACTGAATACATTTTTTTTCCCACATCTTTGCTGATCTCATGTTAATTCATCATTAATTAATCATGACACGTTTTATCTCAACCAGTTACTATATTTGTTACTATATTTATTATATTCTGTAAACCTTTGTGTACTACTGAAGGAACTACTGAAAGGACAAGTAATGAAAAACACAAATGAAATACTGATCTCATGTTTGTTCATCATTAATGAATCATGACATCTTTTATCTCAAGTAACGACAATATTTGTTCATGTTTGTTTATGATTGTTTATGATTTGTACTTCAGTAGTAACTGAATCATTACTAAGTATTTGTGCCCCATCGAGTAAAGTGTTACAACCTCTGTTTATTTATGAGGTTCCACTTCAGTAAGGATCCTGTCTGTCCCACAGATACCAGACCATGCTGGACTGCTGGCACAGCGAACCTGGGCAAAGGCCCACCTTCACACAGCTGGTGGAACGACTGGGGGACCTGCTTCAAGATAATGTGCAGCAAGTAAGGCCACCCTAACCGTAACCCTGATGCAGTGGTGCCTGTGGTTCACGCTGTGGCTTACGAACAATTTGGTTCACCACCAAAAATTTTGTGAAAAAAATGCATTGGTTCGCGTACAAAATTTGGTTGACGAACAGATTCCTTGACCAGATTTTTTTTTTTATACTAGTGTAGCACCGGAAGGGCGCATGTCCCAGCATGCCCCGTACGGAATTGTAAATAGAAGGACCACAACAGGCACCCAACGAGCACTGAACCCAAATAAAAAGATGGGAAACACAAGGTTGTCACACGCCGAACTGCAAGATGCACGCACGGTGGGAGATTTACACATGCTAAATACATAAGACACGGGCAAACACACACGCGACAATAGGGAATGCAACCATTAACATTAACATTAACAACAACAATAATACAAGGGCTTAGGACTGTTAATAAAGAGCCTGATTTCCCCGGCAAGTCTCCATGTCTCTCTCTGCTCCCAAAATGCCTCGGTCCACCCGTCACCACACTATATTGTGTTTTTCTTTAATGTTTTTACAAAAAAAAATAGAAAATTTATTTACAAAAATCATTATTTCGTAGGCTTGTGAAAGAATTAATTTCAGTGCTTTCTTATGGGGAAAATTGCCTTGGTTCGCGTACAAATCGGTTCACTACCACTTTCCCGGAACGGATTGTGTTCGTGAACCGCAGGCACCGCTGTACTGAGTAGGGCCCCCCTGATACGCTAACCGTAACCCTAAAACGGGGAGGGTCACCCTTTGCCCTCAGATCAGCTTCAGTCCTACTTGCAACCATCAGTGGTGGAGGAAGTACTGAAGCTTAGTACTTAAGTAAAAGTACAAATATCCTGCAAAATATGTACTCAAGTAAAAGTAGAAGTGCTACATCAACAATCTTACTTAAGTGAAAGTACTAAGTACTTACTTTTAAATTTACTTTAAAGTATTTTTTTAAGTAAAAGTACACAGTGGTTTGTCTCAACGTATGGGGTGTGCCATTTTGTAAAAGAATAGTAGATATACTGACTTACACCTCTACCGATGTCATTGCTCATAATAATTACAAACAACTAAACAGTATATGTGTATTGGCTCTGGGTCCATGTTGAATGTCTCGTCTTCTTGAAATCAAGCCAGTCTACCAGCTCGTGTTGCTAATTGACGCGCGCTCTGACATCATTGGAGATAATAAAGCCACCTGATTGGTAGGAAATGGCAAACAACACCAGAACACAACAGGCTAACTATTTTTTCATGCAAGATTTTGAGGAAATTGTGTTCATAAAATGTAACAACTAACGACATAAATTGTAGAAATGTAGTGGAGTAGAAAGTACAGATAACTGCCGCAAAATGTAATGGAGTAAAATAAAAAGTATGCATTATTATTTTTACTTAAGTAAAGTACAGATACGTAAAAATGTACTTAAGTACAGTAACAAAGTACAAATACTTCATTACATTCCACCACTGGCAACCATGTATAATGGAACATAAAGAAAAGTCTGTACCTTGATGGATGGAAATCTATTTCATGCTTTGAGTCCCAGAACTTCCCATAAAAGCTGAGGGATGTTTAGATGATTGGCCATTGATTGGTGAGGCCATGGCAGGCATCTGACTTCACCTTAGTGCTCATGAAACCTCGTGACTTTGTTCACTCTGGTGGCTGTTTCCCTACCATAAGGGAACAGTGTCAGGCTGCTGCTGCTCCTGCAAAATGGCCTCTCCTGGGCTTTATACCACCATGCAGAAGCAATCATAAGATCTAATGCTTCCCACAAGAGGGCTGGGCTGCCCAGGCCACCAGGGACCACCACCATTGTGAGTTAATCTCCTATCTCCTAACATAAACCCTGTCCAGATGCAGGACTTCTGTAGCTGTTATTGACTATGCCTTGTAACCAAAGACTTATATTCTGGAAAAACTCTGTGAGTATTTTGGGCCATTCGCTCAGATTATAGTTTTACATATGGATGCTGTTGTGGGCGGTCATTGGAAGCGTGCGTGTGGTTATGTGTCCGCACCACATTGGTCATTAGCTTCAGCTGCCCTGAATGTCCTTGCTGATCTGTGGTTTGGCCCCTTTGCACTGCGTAACTTTGGGTGCATCCAAGTCCTCCCGACTTCCACACCACAAGCTGCTGAGAGGAGTTTTTTGCTGAATGTCTGTGTCAAAGCGTACTGTCAGGCTTCAGAGAAGTGAGTCATTCGTGAGAGATTACTGCCCACTGTTCGCTGGAACAAGCCAGGACAACCAGAGGAGAAGGACTGAGCGGATGGTCATTCTCAGCCGGAAGCACAAACAGCTACCAAAGCAACCTACCTGCATAAACGGCAGAGTAACCTCCAAGCAGATAGGGGGCACAGTGACACATGGGGAGACACTAACAATCCCTGTTCTGTCATCTACAGGAGGGTAAGCACTATATCCCCATGAACACAGGCCTGCTGAGCAGAGATACGGAGCCCCGCAGTACCCCTGTGCAGGGGGATTCCGGGGGTACCTGGTAAGGCCTGGCATACTTTCCTTTCACCTGGCACATGATGAAGTAAAAGAATGTGTGATACTGCTTTCAGTAGAAGGGGAGTAAGTTGGAGATGCCAGTTCATCGAACTGTGTGTGTGCATGTGTGTGTGTCTGTGTGTGTGCGAGCGGGTATACCTATCCTTATGGGGACACAATGTCCCCATAACGTGATAAATATCCATTTTTTATCCTTATGGGGACTGGTTTCCTGGTCCCCATAAGGGAAAACTCTATTTTATAAAAATAGGTGACTGCTATGAAAAAACTAAAAATGCAAAAACTCTTGTATTTTGTTTGGTTACTTATGGTTAAGGTTAGGGCATCGTAGGGCAGGGTGGGGTTAAGGTTGTCATAGTTAGCGTTAGCATTTTTCCCATAGAAGTGAGTGTCGCATTCTGAAGCCATTGATATCCCCTTCAGGAATGACGACGTCATCCCTAGCATTGTGAAGAGCATCTATCAGGTGACCATGGAGGAGAAGCTGGACCAGAATCAGGAGGTGAAGGGATCCTGGCCCACTACACACACACACACACACACACATAGTCACACACACACACACACACACACACACACATAGTCACGCAGACACACACATACACACACACACAGTCACGCACACAAAGTCACACACACACATACACACAGTCACACACACATACAGTCACACACAATTGATTGCATTGATGGTGCGTGGGGCTTGCAAGTGTTTCATCACAAGCCGTTCTTCGGTTACTGCACTACCTCACGGCCTGGTGTCACACTGTTTCATTTCCCACAGTCAAGCTGCAGAAGAGAATTGCTTTGTACAGTGAATAAATCAAAATGGCCAGCCAGGCATCAGTGACATGTGACATCATCAACTGGAGACAAAATAATGTCATGTTTGATTCCCCAGGGAGTGCAGTCGGGCAGCGGCATGATCCTGTCACCTGACGACACTGCTATGCTACGGCCAGGCTGGGCCAGATCAGTTCTCGGCCGGCCATCAAGCATCACAGCCCTGGCGTAAGTGATTTTAATCTGACCTCAGACTCGTCTCGGACAGCCCGGCATCGGAGGGCTCTCCTCCCCCAACACTCTCCCACAGTCCTGAGTGCAGATGTGACCGTTTGCCCACTGGTGAATATTCACATTCCTCACAATCACTAGACAACCGTCACTGCCCCATGAGATTCCCAAAAACCTGAGCAGACTGCCGGTCTCGCTCCAGGCAGACCAAGGAGAGAAACGGGGAGATTATGGACTGTTGGGAAAGGGGCGTGGGGCTTAGTTCCCAAGGACAACACAAGGACAGACAACAAAAGTGGGAAGGAAGTGTGACTGGATAACAGCAAACTAGAAAGAGACACCCTCAGGCAGTACGGGCTGGATCTGGATGGGGGGTAGGAACTGAACCGGCGCGTACCTGCAGTGCAGCGGCTGTGGTACCGTGGCTCGGATCCTGCCGCTCCAGGTTCACATAGCCATACGAGTAAGGCAGCTTTTCTCTGAGTGCTGCTTCACAAGATCAAAAACAGCACCACCTTATAAGGAAATGAAGATGTAAATCTTGCGCCAGGAACATATTACAAGTTACCAGGGGGAGTTATGTGCTGATATGAGGTCATGAGTCAGCCCCCCTCCCCTCCCCTGAGTTGTGGTACATGCTGGGACCCTGGAGGACCTCAGTGACCTTACACACCCTCCACCTCAGCCGCCGCGGATCCCCCTCCCTCTCCCAGCCCTGTCCTTCACACTGTGACTTTTCTACAGGTTTAGAGCAGCGAGCAGGAGCCGGGAATCCATCCTACATGAGGGGCAAAGAGAACGAACCCAGCACCCTGTACCTCCTCTGGACCTCAGCCCAGACGATGCCAGCCTGGAGCAAGCCCTGGAGTGCCACAGTCCACCCCCTGATTATGATGACGTGGTCCGCTACTCTGCTCCACCCATATAACTACACCCACCTTGGGGAATCCAACATACTGACTTGGAGGCAACAACTGAATAACCTTTCCTGCTCAACATTATACTCACTATATTGTGTGTGTGTGTGTGTGTGTGTGTGTGTGTGTGTGTGTGGTAATGTATGGCTGATACAAAGCGATGTAGCAATACAGCAACAGGCCAATAGCCAAGGCTACAACCTTGCAGCTAATGAAAGAGAAGCATCATTATGCAGTACATTAATGCAGCAACACTGCAATATATAATCTACATCTTATGAATCGCTAATCAGGCCAGAATATTTGGAAGAATGTGGCTTGGTTGGGTGAAGTAATGCTGGCCAGCCAGTGCAGAGGTGAAGGCTCAGTACAAGATGAAATGCGTTCAGAATGAGCTTACTGCTCTTTGGGGAGGTTTTTGTACAAGCAGACAGCAGAGTTACAGTGCAGAAGTAGTGGAATCGGGGAGCAGTCTTTCGCCGTCACATGCAAACAGCAGCCTGAGACGCTGGCTGTACGCAGGTGATGGGTGATTTAAGGCCAGAAGGAGAGTTGTCGCTTTATTAACGCACCGTTTGTATTGTAAACCTGCTCTCAAATTCTAGGCTGTTTATTACACCGGAGTGAACTTTGCTGGGCTTCCTCCTATTCATGCATCATAGTTCTTTGAGTGGCAACAGATTCTGGGGCGTTAGTGTTCCGGGAGAAGACATCAGGAATCATGCACACAGACACTATGACGGTGCCTGTAGCTACAGGGACAGTGAGTTACGCTTCCATGGTAACAGATGGTGTCCTGATGGGAGAGATTTATGTGGGCTGACAGAATTAGCATCAGTCCCGCAGGTTATGTCAAGATGCAGACTTCTTCTAAGCCAGGGCCTTCTGGGCATTCTGAGCAATATTTACAAAAGCAGACCTAAGATGTGTGATTAATAAGAAGAATAAGAATAAGCTTTATTGCCAGGTATGTTGACACATACGAGGTTGTAGTGACAGAACTCTACAGAACTCTACAGTTCAACAGAAAGACAGTGACAAGACAAGACAAGACACAGGTAATAAAAGAGTTATATACAGATATACAAAGATATACAAAGTAGCGTGCAAAATAGCAAGACGTGTTCTTTGGTGTGATAATATAAGTGTATATAGAGTGTATGTAATCCTGAGTGCCCTGGGGGAGGTGCACAGGAACCCGGGGAGGACATGCAAGCCCCACGTACACAGGACAACAGTCGGTGCCCAGAAGCTGCAGTACCTACTGCTGCACATTGTAGTAGCAAGAAATTAATCAGCATTGGGAGCCGCTGACATCCGAGTGTTTTTTTAATAAGGGGCATTTGAGCAGCATCGGCCCAGACTGTGCAGCGTCTGGACGTGGAAACCTTCTGTAGTATCTGCGCATGACCTTCGTCCCTGTGCTTAAGGCTGGCTTTGACCCTGGGGTCCCTCTGCCTCCTGTCTGTGGTCATTTCCTCTGTGCTATCTCTTTAAATCTTCACATGCTGTTGCCTTAATTATTCACTTTCCCAAGAAATTGCGACAATTAAACTGTCAGTCACCAAGAATATATGCTAATGCTCATTTGAGAAAATGAGCAATAAATGTCATAGCTGTTAGATCTTCAGCATAAAACTGTCTGACAGTCCAGTCTATTTTTTTGTGTGTGTGTGTGTTTTGCTGCTCTCTACTTCATGTAGTGGCATATTGAAACCAAAAATCGTGTTTATGCTTATACAAATATTTTGTCGTGTTCCTAATGTCTGAATCACTGGAATCTGCAAAGCAGTTGTGTGGATAACTGACCTCAAGTTGGCTGCTGTAAGTCGCCTCTGTAAAGTGCAGCCACATCCAGGCCGGCGGCTGCTGCGTAATGGAGGGACTTTCACCTGTTCAAGGTGATGAGCAAATTGGCACTAACAGCCACACCCGCCATGCTTCCCCTCAGCTCTGCCAGCCCCCCCCCCCCTGGCCAGGCACCCTATCGGCTTGTAGCCTGAGCTGATCCATGCCAGGTGTGCAGGCTCCAAACCGCCTACCATCAGTACTTTGACAGATGTGCCCAATGACCAGCACGAAACGAGGTGTCCACTACTATAATGAGCCAGTAAAAACCATACAAACAACCATAAGACTATTATCTGAGCAGTGAAAGTGTTTTTTGTCTTAATATGGACTGGAAGCCCAGTATGGAGAATTATAAGCACTGATATTATTGTCTTTCATATGTAGTTTAGTTTCGTATTTCACACATTATTAACCAAAATAATGGAAACATTATTATTATTATTGTTATTATTATTATTAAATAAAGATTTATATATTTATAGACTAACTCTAACTGTGATTCATTGTCTTGTGATTCCTTGGTGGGACGGTTTTTCCCGTAAACATGGTTTCAGACTGAAGTGGGGTGTTGATAAAATGGTTTGCTTGCACATGTATGTTGGGGCGATTCACCCCTGTGCCCTTTTGAGGATAATTGCTGTCTGCTCAGGTGGTCTGGAGCCGCATCGGGGGTCTGCTTCATCATACCCTCAGGGTAGGGGTGAGGGTGGGGGCCTGCATCTCCCCATCCTCCTGATTTATTGACTTTTGGTGAGTTGGTGGTTGTGTGAGGAAAAAAGGCTCTCAACAACAAGTATGATCTGATTTATCTGCCTCTCTTTGAGCCAGTAAGACATTCAGAGTCTGTCTGTCCAAAGCAGGGACTGCCCATCAACTCCTAGCAATTTCACAATGATTATGCTAAATGATGTTTAGTGGGGTCATGGTATGGTTAGGGTACATCCAGCGGAGTGTGATGTTGGATGGTGCGTGGCTCAGCAGGTTTGGACTCTGTGCCTCTGATCAGAAGGTCAAATCCCAGGGTTGGCCGGGTGATTTCACTGTTGGACACTGAGCAGAGCCCTTAACCTCCAACTGCTCTGAGGACCATCTGACCCTGTTTTCTTAAAGCAAAAGTATCTTGTTTTGGATCAAAGCATTTGCTAAGTAGAATAAATGAACTCTGTATCAATTGAGGACAGAAGCATCACCATTGTACACAACCGCTAATGACTTCAAACGATCAAACACTCATTGGAGACATCACAAGTATGTCACCCAGAAAAACTAAGCTTGGAGCGTCTAGCACAGCACTTCTGAAGACAGGTTATTTCATCTGATGGCAAAAGTGATGTGGATTAACCTAAAATGCATGAAAGTTCTTTATTATCCGCATGAAGATATGCAGTGTGTCATTGGCTCTGGACTTGCAGAAACTCCTGCCTTGCTATGCTCCACAAAACACAATAAAGTCAATCAAATGCTTCCTGTAATTATAGTACAGACGCTCCTCTACTTACTAACTTTCAATTTACAAACTATCAGACATACAAATGAAGAGAACTGTAAGTCCAAATTGTGTTCTTTAGGCTCCCATTTCCTGTCTGCAACATCATTTTTTCTTTCTGCGCGCCAATTCCGCCTAGTACGACATCTGTCCGCTACTCCCGCCGTGCAGCAGTGTACTCCCAGCATCCTAGTTCTTTGTACTTGCACATACCCTTAAAATGATGTTAAATAACGACTTACGAACATTTCAAGTTACGAACGGCCATTCGGAACGTAACTCATTTGTAAGTAGAGGAGCGTCTGTATATACAAGATTCATTTCCCCTTTATTTCAACATCCACTTTGCCTGGTATCATGTGGATATTTTTGCATGGGTCAACAAAAATTTTAAAAAAGGTTAATATCGTCCATCTTCTAACTGCATATCCTGGTCAGGGTGATGGGGCACTGGGGTCTATCCCAGGCAGCAGAGGGGACGAGGCAGGGGAGACTCTGGGTTGGATGCTAGGCCGATTCATATCAGATCAATACGGATTTCTAGAGCTGGGCTTCCTGAAGTAAAAGGAAATGGTGATTTCAAAGACATGAAAGGGGCAGGTGCTGTTTCAAGGAAGATTATGAAAAATACTGGATGGTCCCTGAGCCAATGTCTAAGTTTCTGGTGAGGAACAGTAGCGCCCTCTAGTGGTCAGGATAAGGCAAATAGAGTTTTTACTTTGGGGTAATCTGTGGCCGATGACTTCGCGAACTGAAAGAGGAAAAGGCAGTTCATCTAGCTCAAGCTGCTCAGCTACAATGTTGATGATATGACAAAATTATGATCTCAGGGACCCATCATAAAAACTGAAACTAGCTCCTGTCCAGCTGCCTTCACAGTAGAGTAGGTTTGCCACGTTTTACTGACATTGCTGGAGAACGTATGCCCTGTGTGAGCATGTGCACTAACTGAGTTTGCAGAAATTGATCTGTGAAACCAAGTCATGAAGAACTGAGAAGTTCTGCTCCACAGATAGCTGTGACTTTCTAAGGCAGCACTGAACGTGTCCATGAGCTTACGCACACCCCAAACTGGGAATGTTTCCCTTCATCCAGCAGGTCATTGTCAATCCAGAAGGCAACTGAGTGGAACCTCAGCGGGCAAAAGATGAGACTGAAGCTGAGGCAGTACCAGCTGTAGGGTCTAAATGACAATTTAAAACTTTTAGGACAGAAGTAAGACATCAGTGGCAGCAGGCATTTGCTGACAATCCAAAAATGTCTCCTGTCATTTGTGGCTGCCGCGGCAGAGAAGAAGCCTTTTTTATGCAGAATTTTACCCTGTGTCCTTTCTGGCAGCACTGACTAACTGCTCAAGCCTTCTTCTGTGTAAGGACTGTGCATGAACATCCCTGACCTTGGGGGGCTGAACAAGCTGGAACTTCAGACAGAGACTCCTCCGGCTGTCAAGAGACGTCAGCATGAATATCAGCTCCCCAACCCAAAAGGCCCCCTCCTATTGGCTGATTCGGAAGCCCCCAGAATCCCATTCTGCATGCTGATTGTACAGATATATCTTGCATGGTGAGGACAACATATAATCAGAAATGGTGGTATGTAGAATATATACGTAACTGAGATGTAAAGAAAAATCTGATCTTTTACAAGATCACATGCAACAAATACAGCAAATTTGATCAAATTTTATTTATAGAGTGCATTTAGAACAGGAACACATCAGGAAAGTCCATCCATTTTCTGTAACCTTGTCCTATTTAGGGTCTGGGGCCTATAGGTACACGGCAGGGAACAACCCAGGATGGGGCACCAACCCATCGCAGGGCACAAGGCAGGGAACAACCCAGGATGGGGCACCAACCCATCGCAGAGCACACTCACACACCAGTCACTCACACACCATCCACTCACATCTTTGGGTGATTTAGTAACTCCAATTAACTTCAACATGTTTTTGGACTGTGGGGGGAAACCAGAGCACCCAGAGGAAACCCCACAATGACACAGGGAGAACATGCAAACCCCACCCTCATGGAGCCATGGCAGAGACTCGAACCCTGGTCCCAGAGGTGCCAGGCAACAGTGCTAATCACTGTGTCCCCCTGGGTCTGGGAAAGTGTTATATAAAATCAAAGAGAAGTTCCTAACACAAATTGGAATAAGAGCAAAAAAGACTAAAAATATATTATAATGCCTTTTTATCTCTGGGCATGATGCGTTACATGTTCACCTACCTCCAGCTCTGTACTTACTGTGTTCGCTTGCTGTAGTTATATCGCCTGCCCACACGGGGACAGTATTAAAACGCTTAACAGCTCCGGTCACATGGTCCACCTGTGGTAGGCGGGACGTGGTCTAGGTAGGGCTATGTTATAATACAGTGTTTGGCAATGTGTCTGTCTTGCTTACAGTCAGGCTTCTAAAAAATAACACAGTTACTGTTCAACTACTTAAGGAGCCGGAAATTGGTGAAAAGATTATTTTTACTGATTGGATTTTTAAGAATTAACATAGGCCTAGACGAAACGAATCTGAATGGAAGTAGTCTGACAACATTAACTAAGTGAATGAAATGCATGAACTAAATGTATGAAATCAAGACAATCTAATTCTTAAATACCTACGACTGGCTGGATGGATGGATGGATGGATTGGTGGATGGATGGGTGGATGTTGCTGACGTGTTTTAAAAGGCGACACACCTATAAAGAGATCAGCATTTCTTATGATTTGGCTGTTGTCTGATTATAGACTCAAACATTCCTACAGATAGGCTATGAAATTAGCGTTATCTGAAGAGATGTCATGACGTGAAGGGACGCTGTGTTCTGTTATTCCTGGAAATCTAAGAGGAAGATAAAATGTGTAGTGGCAATTTTAGAGAGTTCAAACCTAACATGTAATTAATGGCTTAAACGGTTATTCTAATGCATAAATATGTGCCCAAGAGTTATAGTCTTGTAGATATTTTTTGATGACCTCCGGTGATCACACGTAATTTTAAGTTGGTTAACATTTTTGTGAAGGAATTATCGAAAACTAATCTAAGCGGGCTTCGTAGTTCATTTTCTCCAATTCTTTGGTTTGACGCAGCACGGAAGTTCTTTTGTATTGTTACATGTTAACATGTGGTTTATAATACTTGTACTTTTCTGTACTTATTTCTGACTATGTACAAAAATAGTGACAACTGAAAGCCAAACTTAGTTAAGCGTATCTTCGTTTTAGAAGCAATGGTAGCTACATTTTCGACGAGAAGAAATAAAATGCATATTTTCACGTATTCTGCAGTTAACAAATCCCTTAAGAAAAGGCTGTCCTAGTTTATTAATTTCTATACTAGTCTGATGCCTCTTAATGCTCCCTAAATGATCTTATGTTGCACTTCTGCTCTGCTTACACTTGTACTTGGGCATTCACTGAAAGCTCAGCCTAGCTGCACGTAAGCCTAGTTGATTAATTGACAGCATTTATGTTTGTAATGTGCTATTTTCCTCACTTGTATGTTGCTTTGGACAAAAGTTTCTGCTAAATACGTACATGTAAGCCCAATGTGATGTAAAAACTGAATTTTAACGACATGAAATTCTAAATGAAATGAACATGTGAGATATCCTTACACCATGGAAAGCTTTGAATTTTCCATGTCAGATTTTTTGGCTTTTAGGCCACCTGGGGGAGGAGGGATAAGATCCATACAATTATTATATATTCCATCCATCTTCCAGCTGTTATGGTCGCATGTTGAGTCTATCGAGAGCAGCAACAGGGCACAAGGCTTGGGTGCAGCATGGAAGGGGATGCCAGGAAAATTCTGCGTCTTTGTAAAATTGAATACTGCCGCTAAAATAAACATCGATAATGAAATGTAAAAACTGTTTCACTTTTCGTGCAATCAAGTACTTCAACTTTACAGATAGGCTTAATTTGTGATGGCACCTAGTAGGAGTCCGCATGTAAACTGGTGATGGGTTAAACGCATTTTACCTGGGTGAAAGTGGTGCATTTCAAGTAATATTCCAGGATCCCTACAAGCGGAATTAGCTGTGGAAGTGCGACCTCAAAGTGGTCAGGTGAGAAGGAGGCGGAAAGTGAGAAGTCCGCCGTAACTGCATCGAGTAGCGTCACTTTTCACCTCCTTTGCAGGAGTGCGTGTTCAACAAATACTCGGAGGCCTTCAAGAGCCCGGAGAGTGTGGATGCGTCGCTTTCCCATGCAAGCAGGTCGCAAGCGAATGCCACGAAATTCTTGCAAAATATGACGAGGGAACAGTTACAGAAAGCACCGTGTATAACTGATACTCTCCCTGTGACGTGAAACTGATGCGTTTAAGATTAAGTTTTAATACAGGTTTATTAAAGGATAGCATGATAAAGACAAGTTTATTTCAATAAATACTGTCAAATTAAAAACCCAATAATATTACAAAATGAATACACCGAATTTTAATGAATGAGATATACATTTCATATATATATATATATATATATATATATATATATATATATATATATATATATATATATATATATATATATATATATATATGAGCGATGTATGAAATCAGCGTGAGCACTCGTGGAATCGATTGAATTAAATTAGGGCATAAAGTATTGGAATTGCGACTACAGCGTCTTTCAAATACTGGACCACGCAGGCTGGTTAGAGGTTTGTGGTGCGTAAAACAGGGGCACTGGGGGGAATATAGGAGGTGCATTTTGGCGGGGTTGTCGATTCGTCATTTGAATGCAAATGTCATGGGTTTCAGGCCCGTTCTGACGTCAGGCGGGCCTTGCTATACCTTTGCCAGCAGCACCTTGTCAACAGACCTTAATCATGTGCGACTGAGACGCATCTGGAAGTACGTCGCAGCGCTATCAATCTGCAGAGCCGCACTGGACTACTCTACAGGCATTTAGCAGAAGGTGCTGAGGGAGCAGTAAGACCTTTGGCTTTTGAGTAGCTATTATGTCCCCATAAAAATATTTAGCTGTTGTGTTTGTGAATCATGTACGTGGGTTACCTTGTGGATAAAGAGAGCAACATGTACCACCAAGGACCTATGAGGCGTTCCATTAATCTTCCTCCGCAGAACTTTGCGCCCAGCGCGCAGTACTCCGACTTCACGGGGTACCACCATGTACCCAACATGGAGAACCACACGCAGCCCTCAGGGGCCTGGGGCTCTCATTACGGCGCACCAAGGGAGGACTGGGGCGCCTACGGCCTGGGACCCCCTAATAACGTACCTACATCCATGAACACCTCATCACCCGGCCAGGTCCCGTACTGCTCCCCCGACTATAACTCAATGCACCCGGCCGGATCATCAGTTTTGCAGCAGCCACCAGAGAATATTAATGTTGCGCAAATGTCCCCAGAAAGAGAGAGACGCAGTTCGTATCAGTGGATGAACAAAACTGTCCAATCGTCTTCTACCGGTAAGTAGGAAAAACAGAGCTGTTCTTTTCCATAATGTTTTCTGAATCTACTTCAATCGTCCTGAATCGGAGTGTCGCGTTAAAACTTTCAAAATGTAAATAAGACAATTACTTTGGACTATATGTAGCTGTATAGTATGCCTATGTGCTACATAGGAATATAGCCTGTATGCCATATAATACCATCAATCACATAACACGTACAGTAAATTTGAATTTCACGTATTTTAGGCCCCCTTAAATAATAAGTGAAATAATGTAGGCCTATAAGGAAAATTCTAGGCTGGATTTGCTTGTGTGTTTTAAAAGTACCTGTTAAATGTAATTTAAATTAAAATGTAAAATTTTGCATGTCAAATAAGCAAATCTAGTCTATCAACAAACGGTACAGTGCTTGTCTGTTCAATAAATGCATGCATAAAATAAATATATTTCATTTTTAAATATTGTACTCCGAAAGTATATGGAATAGGCCAATAAATAAATAGGCCTAGATATAGTAAGTTAATCAAATAGGACTATTTTATTGTAATAATAATGCAGACATTACTACGTTGATGAGTAATTCTTAAAATATTCAATAGGCAGAAATTTTATATGGGCAACAAAGTCTAGGCCTAATTATGAAATAATGAAACTGGGAAACAAAACTGCAATGAAAAATAATTGTAAGTGATATTTCGGTATTAAAACATGATATGATGGTTATCAGACGGTTAATCGGGGGGTTATAAGATGCCAGTGAAAATGTGATATGGATTGATTTTATGGATGCTATGGTAGATCTGCACGGGTAGGTGTTTTGTGCATAGAACGCCAGACACGCTTGTAATGCTAATGTCTCTACTCTCGTAAACTTAATGTGAGGTCCATTTTCCTGGGCGACATTGTCTCAGGGTTTCGGTGTTATCTGTCATGTTCAGGCGGCGGCCCCTTTTAACCCTTGGTTTTACTTTGATATGCACCAAAGTTTCTTCCTCGGTCTCCATTATTCAAAGGTTATATTGCCCGGAAAGGGCGATGATTTTCACAGCAAATAAAGACCTCGTCCCTTTCGTACTGCCAAAGGTTCTGTTCACTCAAACGACAAGTCATTACCAAAAAAAAGACCCACTTCATATCTCACGATCTACTAAAATGCACTGCTTGCGAACTATTATTTATTTGTTGTTCGTGCTATTTCAAGACCGAATCTTTAGTGAAATAGAATTTCGCCAATGGCATTCATACTAACTCAAAATTAATAGCACATTTATGTTTAATCTTCCTTATTAGCCCTAAACAAAATTAAATACGATTTTTTTTATTTAGCACTGCAAATCAAGATTTTATTATTTCTGTGAGATGAAAGGGCACCGACCTTCTTTACGGTTTGTAAATCAAACAAGTCGGACCTGATGCGGACCAGAGAAATTTCTGCGATAGTATCGCCTTGTGAGCCCTTTGTGAGACGCGTGTTGCCGCTTAACACTTCAATGGGGTTTGGCTCATTTTTCCGAGGCCCTTTGTTCTGCAGTTTGTTCAAAAGTCACATCAAAGACCATCTGAAGCGCGATTTGCATACGCAGCAACAAAGCGAGAAGCTCGCAACTCCCAGCCACATAAATCTGGATTTTAAAATAGGCCTAAAGCTATCATTTACTAAGGTCTAATGATTTAATTAAATCATTTGGTGTAGTATATCAACGATATTATGATGATGATTTGGCATGCATTATGCCTACTGTCTTTTTAACCTTTATTAGAGCATTAGGAATTAAATTTAACATGACTCAATGTCCACACACACTATTGTACATCACGTACAATAATCAAGATCCATTTTTATTTGTCTGTATTTTTACACTTATAAGTCATCAGCTCCAAATGAAAACGTAAAAATAATTTACATTTAAAGTAGTTTATATAAAAAAGCATAAACGTTTATTAAATAATATAGGACAAGCAGTCATGGAAAATGGACGGATGCGTGGATGAGTAGTATGACTCAATAATATTCTCACTGTTGCAAAGTCAAGATTAATTTATTCGCAATTAAAGTGGCTTCTTGTTTACTCTCAATACCTACCCGTTAATCGTATGATCGTTATATTCTTTATAGGCAAAACGAGGACGAAGGAAAAATACAGAGTCGTTTACACGGATCATCAGCGGCTAGAGCTGGAGAAGGAGTTTCATTACAATCGATACATCACGATCAGGAGGAAGTCTGAGCTGGCTGTCAACCTGGGCCTTTCGGAGCGGCAGGTAAACAGGGCGATGCGAGCCCGGGAGCAGCCGTGCCATGAACGGAGGGTGCATTATTTAAGATGCTTATATCCGATTCTTCTGTTTCTCCAACAGGTGAAAATCTGGTTTCAAAACCGCAGAGCGAAAGAGAGGAAACTGATCAAAAAGAAAATGGGCCAGTGCGATGGGAGCGGCGGCTCGGTGCACAGCGACCCCGGTTCCGTCAGCCCGCTGGCAGTGCCCGGCTCGCTGAGTCCGTCGGATATCCACGGTTCCCTGTATCCACCGCCGGGCATGAACTCTTTGCCACCAATTGGGAATATACAGCAAGTCACTGTGGGCCAGTAAACTCCTGCTGGGAACTTTGCAACTTTAACTGAGCACTCCATCACGCCGCGAGGACAACGCGGCGCGACCCGCTAACGTGGATTTATAAATTATTCCAAGAGCAAAGTCCTTTTAAGCCCGTGCTGTGGATTACAATACAGAGATTTCAAATGAAAAATGCTGGAGGCTCTTCGAAAAAGATTCTTTTAATAGGATATTTTTAAAAGAACACGGAAAACAATGTTTGTATGGGCCAGAATTAAACATTATTGGTTGTTGTATGATTTATTAAAATATAAATAGGCCCATCATTTTCTGTACGTGACGAGAACGAGTGTTTACATGTTTGTAAATAAAAGCAATCAGGTGCATTTTAATTGCACTGCATCCCTACCTCTGTAAATGTGGAAAAAGCTCTTTAAACTGCCATGAGCTTTCGGATTAGACATCATTGCCCTTTTTTCATACGTACGGGTACAATTTTAAACTTTGGTGTCAAAAACATACGGGTATGACGTTTGATGGAAACGTTTATAATGTAAATAAAATATTTTTTCCCGAAATTGGCTAAGTTTACTATGTGACTGATAGAATATATCGAAAATAACGTAATGATGGCATCGCTGCTGTAGGTCTGTGTTTTTCTGTCTTAATCGAATATTACTATTAGTCAGATGTTTAGGAAAAGGTCCGGGGGCGAAGCAATATACTTTTATCTGAAGATGCAATTGAAGTTTACATTCCTAGTGTATTGATTAACGAGCATGTTCGAACTTACAAACAGCTGACGCTATTTAAGATACAATTGACAGGCATTTAACTATTAATTTTAAATTGTCTTGCGAGTAAAAATTAATTTAGTTCCGTGATTTTTTTTACGTGATTTCCGTAATTACAATGTATAAATACAATAGGCCTAGTTCAGTAGGCCTATCCTCTTTTTTCCAGGCGCTCATTCAGCACTGGATCGCGTTGGAAAAACATCCCTGAATTTTATTAAGCCTTTAAAATTTCACCTTTACTTTCTAATGCAGCTAGTCCTACGTGTATTGCAGTTAGTTTTCACCGGTCTATAAAGTAATTTTATGGGCAGTTAAATTACTAGTTAAATTACTGTTATTCCTCTCTGCTAATTCTACAGCCTTACGGGTAGGATTTAAAGCAGCGATTTAATTGCTCCGTATTTAAGGGATTTTGTTGACCAGTGACAAAATCAGTGTCACCTCACCTATCTGCTATATGAAGCGATATAAACGGCCTGCAGAGGAAGGTTCGTTATTGTTTCGGGTAATATCTTAAATATTCCCATAAGGGCTGCAAGGATTCAGAGTTTATGGGCACAAGGCAGGGAACAACCCAGGATGGGGCACCAACCCTTCACAGGGCGCATTCACACACCATTCACACCTATGGGCAATCTGGCAACTCTGATTAACCTCAGCATATTGTTGGACCTTGGGGGGAAACCTGAGGAAACCCCACGATGACACATGGAGAACATGCAAACTCCACACATGTGGAGCCATGGTGGAGACAAAAACCCCAGTACCCAGTGTGGGAAGCTACAGTGCTAACCACTGCTCCACCATGCTGCCCCAACAAAGCAATCACTTAGAATAACACAATTATCATTACCTTTTGTATTATCATTAAAGACAGAAACTAATAATGTAAATAAAAATATCACTGGTTATTTTTGATGCAGGTGTGACTCTTAATTGCCGTGACTTTAGGCGGACTGTTTACCCCTGGAGGGAAGGACTGTTAATCCCCTTCACAGGGTATTAATCTCATACTAATTAGGGTTAACCAGCTAACAGCAGCCCTACTGTGGGTGGGTAGATGGAAGCTGGCCGCTTCCAGCAGCACTTTGGGGTCGACTTCTAGCTGGGTTTTCACTCCGCCAGCCTCCTGACTGTCACACACGTCGGCTGACTTCATTCAGGGTGTCACTGACTGCTTACGGGATTTCATGACTCATAGTCACACACGGCACTATGTCACCATCTGAATGGGGAACCGAGGCAGGGGGCCTGACATCTGGGGACCTCATGGTCATAATTCAGTCAGACGGTCAGTCGCGCTTAATCGGCTTGATAAATGTAGTTTGGCTGGAATAAATCCTGATCAGCCAGACGGTGGGTCTGAGAGCAACCATGCAGGTGAGGATGGATGAATGATGGATGGATGGATACTTTAGTATTCCAGAAGAAAATTGCAGGTTTACAGTAACACTACACACACATTTAGACAGTAAAAAGACATTGAGACATGAATACACAGTAACAATAAATAATAAAAGACAATACACAATAACAGTGTAAAGAATGCCAGAGAAAGTATCACACGGAATTCCCTAGTATTGGCTCAGAATAGTATGACACAGTAGGCTGTACTGTGAATGAATGAATGTTCTGTGAATGTCCAATGAAAAGTGCCTAAGCGTTTCAGATCCATTCAGACAGTTGTTGGCCGGTGACTCATTAAGTCTAATGGCTGGAGGTAGGGATGACCTTGTGTAGTGCTCCTTGGAGTAGGGGAACTGTCTGTCTGCTGCTGAAGATGCTTCTCTGTTTAGCCAAAATGACAGGCAGAGGGTGGGAGTCACTCTCCTGCACTTTCCTGAGTGATCGCTCTGTTCCACCTCGAGTTTAGCTCCAGCATCGTAACTCTATGACTAGATAAAGGAGGCTATCTTCACAACCACAGAAGGAGCCTGGCCAGCCTCCCCCCACTGGCCAGCCCCCCAGCACTGGGTGGGTCCGTCTCCAGGTGACGCGAGTCCGGGGTGGAAACGAGAGGGGGCCGCACTAGGCTGTGGGAGGGGGCAGACAGGACAGGCCAGGGGAAGTGCGGGGCAATAAAAAGTACCTCCAGTATTGTGACCCGAGGTGACAGGAGATGGACGAGGTCGCGATTATGATGATTGAGGGTTCTGGCTCTGCCCTTTTCGGGCTTTCTGCTGAGGGTCTTTGGCTGTTTGCAAAGGGGCTTCCACATCCTGTCATAAAAGATTACGACCCCCTGCTTTTACGGCGCTCGGGCCCTCAGAGGAATGGCCGTTCATTCATGCCGCCTGTGGCTTATCTGGCCCCTTTTTGTCCTCCACTGGCCTGAGAGGTTAGCAAATTACAAGCGACAATTTCTCCGCATCTCTGGAACACATCTGCTCAGATTTACCTGTTTATTTAAGCACCTTTGATCTGTTTCAGGATCTCTGGGATCTGATCTCAGACCTGCGAGCCGTGGAGGAGATCGCTGGCTTTTCTCTTTTTGTTTTCTGTGCTGTTTTTCTGTGTTTTGGCCTGACAGCCACAGTTAGCCCTGCGTCTCTCTAGCTTTGTTTATACAGGTCAGCAAACGGAGAGCCAGACCAGGCAGCCTGCACCTCCAGCTCACAGCGTATTGAGTGGGACACAAATAGCAGCGAATAAAAAAACGTCAACATGACTCTTTTAGGAGGTCGTGACTATGGAGAGCAGCACCTTAGTGGCTGTTTCTGGGTGTCAGTGCTACTGCTGGCTGTCTGTGCTGCCATTGCGTGTCTGTGCTGTTTCTGGATGTCTGTGCTGTTTCTGAGTGTCTCTGCTGTTTCTGGGTGTCTGTGCTGTTTCTGAGTGTCTTGCTGTTTCTGGGTGTCTGTGCTGTTTCTATGTGTCTGCTGTTTCTGGGTGTCTGTGATGTTTCTAGGTGTCTGTGCTGTTTCTGGGTGTCTGTGCTGTTTCTAAGTGGCTGTGCTGCCATTCCGTGTCTGTGCTGTTTCTGGGTGGCTGTGCTGTTTCTAAGTGGCTGTGCTGTTTCTGGGTGTTTGTGCTGTTTCTGGGTATCTGTGCTGTTTCTGGGTGGCTGTTCTGTTTCTAAGTGGCTGTGCTGTTTCTAAGTGGCTGTGCTGTTTCTGGGTGTTTGTGCTGTTTCTGGGTGTCTGTGCTGTTTCTGGGTGTTTGTGCTGTTTCTGGGTATCTGTGCTATTTCTGGGTGTCTGTGCTGTTTCTGGGTGTCTGTGCTGTTTCTGGGTGTCTGTGCTGTTTCTGAGTGTCTGTGCTGTTTCTGGGTGTCTGTGCTACCTCTTTCTGGCATCCTGCTCCCCACAGGCTAGCTAACTGCTCTGTGACATGTTTCTGCATCTGTGCTGTCTGGGGTTTCACCAAAGCAACATTTCAGTCCCGTGGGTAGCACCCCCCCCCCACCCCTCCCCCCGTGTGCAGTGGTGGCATCTGTGTACTGACCCTCACCCTCTTCCTACAACGTAATGTTTAGTAAAGCTGCACCAGTCCAGCAAAAGTGCCGCTTCCTGAGTCTTCCCTGCCGTCTTTGACGTGTCCTGAGATACGTGCAGCCATCGGCGTGATGTCACCAGAGGGCAGAGCAGCGCAGGGGAGACGCCTGTCTGAAGTGTTACCATTATTGGCACAAAGTGGAAATTACTGGTTGCTTTAGTGGATTCAGAGTCAATAATAGAGAAAGCTGTGTCTAATTACCATGTAGCGAGTGAATCTAGATCTGGGTCAAAGGAGTGTGTCTTATTTCAGCAGTGTGACCAGGTGATGCATTTAGAAACTACTGAAATGGAGAAATATTAAGGACATTCTAGAATTGGTGGGGATTTTCTGTCCCCCCCCATGAAATTTTAAATAACTCATGCACAAAATAGTAAAATGTGCACTTGCACTTGAAGCTTATAGTTGTACTGAGATTAAATGTAAATATGTAATTATTGTTGTAAAGGAAAATATTATCAAAAATACCAAGCTTTCAAGCACCCCGTAAAAATTGCATGTTTTCTCGTTTACCAAGTCCATGATTACCAGTTTGCATATCAAATATAACAATTAAAATAAGTTTTAAATTGACTTTTTTATGATTTTGTGGATATACAGCATGTCTCTTGTAGTTGTTAAAACAATGAATCATCATTTTAAATAACAGCAGTTGCATACTGGGGGCAGCAGTGGTTACCACTGTCGCCTCACACCTCTCCACCACGGCTCCATGTGTGTGCAGTCTGCATGTTCTCTCTGCGTCATCCTGGGGTTTCTTCTGGGTCCAAAAACATGCTGAGGTCAATTGGTGTAAATGGTGCAATGGGTTGACGCCCAATCTTGGGCTGTTCCCACCTCTGCAGTGGGTTGGTGCCCAATCTTGGGCTGTTCCCACCTCTGCAGTGGGTTGGT